AGGTTGCTGTGAAAACTCTAACCAATCAGATGTCTTTCATTTACATAATGCTGTGGAAACATAAACCAAACAGATGCATGCATGCATTCAAATTGCTGTGGATTACTGCCAGTCAGATGCATGCATGTTTTAAGTTTGCTGTGGAAACAATGTTTTCAGCCACATCAAACAAATTTATTGAAATTGCTGTGTAATACAGGCTTGTATTCAGGTTGACATGGGAACAGATACAAAGCTAAGAGTGAAAGATATAAGTGTATGTTGTGTAATCATAATACTGCAACTACCCCACCTCAGGTAAGTTGACTGCAAGAGATAATTACTGGAGAGGATAACAAGTAAGAGCGTTACAAATTGTCATATTTCCTCCTCACATAAGTATGCAGAATGAAAGATGTTTATCCCTGCCCTCTGACAAACATCAGCTACATAAAAACTTGCAGAATTACAACTCTGTGTGTGTATTCTCTTCTGTATTTCCTGGATGAAATAAACCACATGCTTTGTCCTGCAGTCATGTTTCTTGTGAACAAAATCAACAAGAAACCTTTCCATCATCCTTAAAAAGAGGGCAGTAGGGTAGCCTAGTGGTTAAAGCGTTGGCTCGTCACACCGAAGGCCCGGGTTCAATTGCCCACATGGGTACAGTGTGTGATGCCCTTTTCTGGTGTCCCCACTGTGATATTGCTGGAATATTGCTAAAAGCAGTGTAAAACCCAACTCACTCACTCACTTGAAAAAGCACTAAGAGTACAACTATATCATAGGCATCTGTTATGAATTTGTCAAGTGATAATGTTCCTCTTTTACAAAATGTATACATAATGTAAGAGGCGACCAACGGGATCAGGTGGTCAGGCTCGCTGACTTGGTTGACACATTGTCATCTTATCCCAATTGCATAGATTGAGCTCATGCTGTTGATCACTGGATTGTCTGGTCCAGACTCGATTATTTTACTGACCACCTCATATATCTGGAACATTGCTGAGTTCAGTGTTAAACAAGAAACAAATATGAAAATATAAAATATATATGCAAGAATAACATGCAAAGAAACTCCCACTAACATTTTTTAAAAGGTTTAGAAGAAAATCTAATAATAAATTTCCTAACGGCACATTAAAAGTGAAAGGTTCTTGTTTCCTATGCTCTCAAACTTTCAGACCACATAAAGGGAGTCCAGTTTCTTAGCTGTTCACTTGTACAGTTTTCCCTGTACATTTGTTTGTTCTGATTTCAATCTAATTTTCTCCATCTATGCCTAAAGGAAGTGTAATCTAATATTTAGAAATAATCACATTTTGTCTGTCTGCCTCGGAGCAATATTTTTATGACCTATATAAAACATCCAATGCAGAACTTTTAAGAACACTTAAATATAGAACTCTGTCTTGGCAAATAACTTTGCAGTTATTGATAATCAGTTTGGGATTTCATGGAAAAGTAAGAGAATAGACTATAAGCAATAAATGTTTATTTCTCTCATGTTAATGTTTTATATTCGTCAACGCCAGAAAACATACAGTCTCTTTCACAGATTTTCTTACACAACAGCTTGGCTGACTGACTGAGCAATATTCCAGCAATATCACGGCGGGGACACCAGAAACATGCTTCACACATTGTACCCATGTGGGGAATCAAACCCGGGCCGTCGGCGTGACGAGCGAACGCTTTGACCACTAAGCTACCCCACTGTCCCCACAACGGCTTGAAAGGCAATACAGTTTTGAAAATAACACAAAGGTATCACAGAAAATCTGTGATGACACCAGGTGTGACCCTCGTGTCTTTGCAAGAATGAACGATTAAAAGAAAATATTTTGAGATGGCCTCTGACTCAAAATGCTTCACAGTATAATAAATCATGACAAGACGGGTGTGTGGTCGAAACAAGCCCTCTGATTGGTGTGCTTGTAAATCTGCTCATTCTTCATTAATTCGCAGGAATTTTTAATTTCATTCTCTCTTGACTTGGAAATGTTAGAATTTTCTTCATCTCTCCTGACTTGGACAAATCAGAATCCATTTGTGACCAGATCGTTTGGTTGAGGGTCAAAATCAGCTTTCTTTCAATCGACTTGCAGAAATAACAATAAAGAATTGGAAGGTGTCATGAGTGGTGATCGATAGGCCAATCATCCATGAATGTGTTTACATTAAGTATTAATCGATTGCATGCGATGGTAGCATAGCAATGGGCAGGTGGGTGGGTATTACACCGAAGTGTCCGGCCTTGTCATGATTTATTGCACTGTGAAGCATTTTGAGTTGGGGTCATCTAAAACCAATTTGATCTTTAATCCTTGCAAAGACACGAGGGCCTGTGGATGAATGTGAGTTTCCCAATCAAATGCTCCTGTCTGTTTATTACTGAAACAATCTCATGTAACCATCACTGCAGGAACAATGAATAATGAGAGTTGTTTGAGCCTATGAATTCATGACGCATTACTGCCAATACAATGGAAGCTATGGACATTTAGCAGATAGCAGCCAGTCAACATGAGCTAAATATATTATACTCAGAGAGATTTCCTGACAGTAGTTTGCACTGTTGTCTTTGCCCCTATGGGTATTATATATGAATCTATTTAAATGAATCTGAGTTTATATGGGGCGTAAGAGGCGACTAACGGGATCGGGTGGTCAGGCTCGCAGATTTGGTTGACACATGTCATCGTATCCCAATTGTGGAGATCGATGCTCATGCTGTTGATCACTGGATTGTCTGGTCCAGACTCGATTATTTACAGACTGCCGCCATATAGCTGGAATATTGCTGAGTGCGGCGTGAAACTAAATTCACTCACTCACTCACTCATATAGTGCATTGCAATCTCTGTCAAGCCAGAGAGAAAGGAGGATGAATGGATGGAGAAGAATCGCATTCACTTCATCCTGTGATTATTTGTTACAGAGTTAATCAGTTTCATCAATGTAAAGGTTCATGGACCATCTTGGTGGTGTAGTGGATAGTGTGTCTGCCAAGAGTGCAGATCAATGGTTCAGTCCCCAGTGTTGTATTTGTCAACCTCAATGGTGATCAGCGTCAGGGTCAAACATGGAGTAACGGGCTCAGTGTCAGTATATACTATGTCTGTGTAGGGTAGCCATTTTAAAACTACATGGTATCTCAACAGGCCAACACTATAGCATCCTTGATTATCTCCAGGGAATATGTTCTGTTAATCTCCACTAGTACCCTGGAGATTTTCGAGGATGGCACTATAGTAATACGAGCGTGGATCCAGGCTATTACCATTAAACATGCGTTCAACATTTTCACCCCCAAATTTTCATAATGCTGAAACAAACTTTTATTTATTTTTCAAATCTATGTTTCTCAAAGTATGCAAACTGAAAAGCCTTTTTAGATTTAAAAGAAAAGTAAATAACAATATTGACTTTGTTGTTTTAAATAAGAATGTTAACAGTTGCATGTCCATGGTTGCATGTCCATGAGTCATTGTGACAGTGTGTATTATGGCCTCACATTGTTTTGACAACATTCATTTTAAAAATGTCTACATCTACTTCCTGTTCTTGGTTAAAACAATGTGGCTAAAACAAGGAATGGTAAGGAGATTTCAAAAGACAGATAACATTTACTGCACCATTTCAAAATATCAGATTACAATATAGTTCGCCTGCAGTGGTTGAAACTTTCATTAACATGATGGTCTATCGTGGTCTAAACGCATTGCAGCAGTTAATAGTTCAAAAGTGCGCTATGCAGATTTGTAATTTATTTTGATGACATACTCCTTTTGTATCATGACCGCACATAAAAAAGGAGTGTTTTGCTCTGCGATTATTGCATTGCCAGCATGTTATTTACCAATCAGCAAGAATATTATATTCAGCTAGCTAATAACCTGGTTTCTGAACTTGCATCATGCATATATGTTTTAACATCGAAGACTGTTTAACGATTTAGAAAATCTCTATGTAAAATATTAGAACTGAGTAATGATATATCATTATTTAAATAATTGTGTGTGTATAAATTACTACTATTTAATATTTTCGTTGAACTGTTTTTGAAGAATTGGAATAAAATATTTTTCAAAGAAAATGTAAAATGTAAACACATTGTTTATCAAATGTCTGCATAAATTTTAACTGTTTTTTTGGTCATGTTTGAACTTTTGAAATGAAAGATTATCCGTTTAATTACACTGTCTTATAGATTCATTCCCACTATAGATTTCATAATTGTGTACTGATAGAATACAAGATGAAGGAACACCTAGAAAGGAAGCGTTGCCATGACATTCGTCTCCCATTAGCTCACCACCAGAACTGTGGTGTTTCTGCTACAGAATTGAAGTAACTTTAAGGTTGTTTTCACTAAAATTCAAAGCAGTGCAATATACATCACTTGTGCAATATATAGTTTACTCAATTACTATTTGCACATGAAAAGTGGTAACGTTTAGTGGAGCCTTCCTTTCAATTTGTCAGTCACATTCAACTCAGCAACAGATCAATGGAAGGGAGATAACTCTGGGGTTACTGTGTAAAGACTGTTTTCCTCTGACTATTTCTAGGCAATTTATACAAGATGGGAATTGGAATGAAAATTCAAGGTCTCTCTCCTTGGCGCTTTATGTATTTTCAGACAAAATCTAAATTATTGTGCCAAACCTAAAACATTTCAATCCTGGATAAACTGCACCAGTATTTGTCAATGTTCTGATGCACTAGATATCATAATCATGCTCTGTGATTGAATGTGACTGCAATTTCTGTGTTCCTTTATTTGTTTGTATCGGTATATTGAAAAAAATTATATACTTCCATATAGATATTAAGGACAATGCAATTGTACCAGGCCTTTATGCTTTAATTGAAGCTAATAAATTTAGTAAGCACATAAATTAACCCTGGAACAACATGAGATGAAATATTGATCCCCACATGAAATAAGCACACTGACTAGGGGTCTCATACAGCACAGAAATGGTTCACTCCTAACTCTGCAATACCTGTAGGTGTCCTTAAGCATGGGAGACGACCAGGAAGAGGGGGTGCTGGGAGCTCACCTTACTCCTGAGAGGCAAGAAATTATCCAGATGGTCAAGTGTCGCATGCAGTCGCAAAATCTACCCATTGAAGATTATGGTTCGTATTTCTAGTCTTTGTCTCCTGGTTGAATATGTCTTCCAAAGACATTATCATTCGCATTTATCTTTAACATAGGGACTATTATTAGCTGAGCTTAGTAAACCTAAATAATTTTAACAAGATTCTGGCTGCTCAATCCTAAAGCTGTTTCATATCCAAAGTGAAATCCGGGTTAGAATTGATCTTCAGTAACCCATGCTTGATGTAAGAGGTGACTAATGGGATCGGGTGTTCAGGCTCACTGACTTGGTTGACACATGTCATTGTGTCCCAGTTGCACAGAATCGATGCTCATGCTTTTGATCATTGGATTGTCTGGTCCAGTATCGATTACTTACAGTCTGTGGCCACAGCTGGAACATTGCAGAGTGCGGTGTTAAACAACAACCAATCAATCAATCCAGAAGGTTTCACGGATGATCACATTTTGTGTTTGCCTTGAAAAATGCATTAACATCCTATGATATGTTGCAGATGAAGTAAGTGACAAGCGAAACTCAATCTCCTATGTGATCATCAACCCCAGCTATGATCTCAAGTTGGAACTGGATGACATTGTGTAAGTAGTTGTGGAAGACGTTGTGGGAGTGGTGTGTTGTACCACCAACTAGATGACATTGTGTAAGTAGTTGTGGAAGACGTTGTGGGAGTGGGGTGTTGTACCAAAAACTAGATGGCATTGTATATGTAGTGGAGAAGGAAGATGTTTTTGATCTGTGATATGAAGCTGGTACTCAATATTGCCACAAGTAATTATCTCTGAAAATTAAATGAGGCAGAGGTTTTCCAGAGAGATTGACAGAGATGTTAAGACAAACTAATACTATTTCTTTCCTGGTCATACAGTTACTGGTCACTTCAAGTTGTTTTTGTGGCCAAGTTTTGAAAGTATAAACCATAGCTGTAGCAAAAAGAAGACAGGTTGTTATGTAGCAGCTGTGGAATTCTGGGCAGGAATTGGTCTAAATTACTAGGATTTCAGTATGTGACAGCAAACTGATGCGGATGGTCAAATCTTTGACTTTGTTGAAGACATATCTTTGTGCCCTGTTGGACATTGTTTATAGTATCAATGACTGTGTCTCTGGAACATCACAGCGTTAAACAACAGTCTTTTTCTATAAAACTGAGAATTTCTTTCTGTTAATTCCACCTGCATCAGTTTCAAAGACTGCAACTAATTTCTCTCCTTTTCACAGGTATCTAATCCGACCAAGTTCCCTCTCTCCCCAAGCATCACCGCTTACAGATGAGAGAAGGTTGTTACCAGGCATGAGAGAAGATCCAACAGGAGCAGACAACTCTGATCAACTGTCAGGAAGTAAAGGAGATCGCCCAGGACCAAATGGGAAGCCCAAGTCAGAAACTGTCACTTACGCTGACAACAGTCGGGTATGCTGTTCCTTTGTGGTCTGGCAAAGTACCATTTAAGAATATCACTAACTTTCACATTGTTTCCACTAAAATTGAAAGCAGTGTAATATACATGAGGCCAGAATAATTTTATTTCTTGTTTTACGGATTTTTGTCCTCAGAAAACCTAAAGGCAGGAGAGGAAAAAAAAATTTAAAAAATCCCCAATCAAAGTAATATTCCTTTCAAATGCTAAAAGTATTTTTTTTTGCGCCAATATATGAAGTGTGTATGGGGCAAAAATCAATAAAAAAAGGGGTTTTATGGTAAGTTTACACTTTTGGCCAATACAAACATGAGGATTTTATATTATGAGCGGGGAAAATTAATTTTTATTTTTTTCTTATTCTTTAAAAAATACAACCGGCGGATCCGTAAAACAAGAAATAAAATTGGCCTGGCCTTATTTGTTCAACTTACAGTTTATGGATTACTATTTGCTCATGAAAAGTGGTAACGTTTAGTGGAGCCTTCCTTTCAATTTGTCAGTCATATTCAACTCAGCATCAGATCATTGGAAGGGAGATAACTCTGGGGTTACTGTGTAGAGACTGTATTTCTAAGCAATTTATATGAGATGGGGATTGGAAGGAAAATTCAAGGTCTCTCTCCTTGGTACTTTATGTATTTTCAGACAAATCTAAATTATTGTGCCAAATCTAAAAAATTTCAATCCAGGATAAACTGCACAAAATTAGCAGCGTTCGAAAGCCTAGTAGTTAAAGTGTTTGCTCGCCATACCGACAGGTTCGAATCCCCACATTGGTACAATGTGTGAAGCCCATTTCTGGTATCCCCTGCCATGATGTCACTGCAATATTGCTAAAAGCAGCGTAAAACCATACTCACTCATTCCTCTTGGTTGCCCCATCCCGAACCAGAGTAAGAAAGGCCTCCTGCAGCTTATGCTTTTGTATAAAGTAACTTGTTGGATCAGGTGTTCAGAATTAATGACTTGGTGGATTGCATGCCATTGTACCCAAGAAAGATTTTTACTCATAGCATCTATCACTAGTTTGTCTGTGCAGTTTATTTTCTGCCTGGTGACATACAGCTGGCTTTATCGCTTCAAACACTTTCAACTTGTAATTTTGTCCCTGAAAGACTGATGTATATTTTGTTCAGAAAGAATGTATTTGAATTCATGGAAGACAAATCGAAGCAGCAACTGTTTTCATTTATGCAATTCATTATACACTTTGTCATGTTCCGCTCCCTGTAGATTCCCGTGGTGTACTACGACTCTGATGAGGAGGAGGAAAATGTTGATGAAACAAGTCCTGTCTGTCCAAAAATAAACATCATCCAAGGATCACCATCAGTTAGTCGGACAAGCAGTTTCACACAAGAAGCTGATGACTTCAAGCAACAGGGATTTAAAGATGGTCTGCATGGGACTGTGGTATGATAAACCCCAGCTCAACAGTGGATTTGCTTTTCAAGGCTCTAGGAGTCTACAGCAGGTGCAACTGAACAGCTGTGTCTGTGTCAGGGGAATGTGCTGCTGGAGAAAGTAGTGGAAGAAGTGGCATTTTGTGGTAGAGGAAATACTCCTGAGAGGAGTCATGTTGCATACTTGATGAAGTCATCATCGGAAAGGAAGACATGATTACTTCCAGAAAGAAGAGGGAGAGCAGTGGTGTGGTTCTGATTTATCAGAAGATGATATGTGTATCAGGAGGAATTTGATGCTAATTACTAGTACGTGTTTGAAGGTTTCATGGAGTAAAAGTGCAAGTGAAGTCATTTGTGGAAGAGCTGCGTTCCATGAAGATGTAGGCTGGTGATTGTGACCTGTGCATCATCCATACAGGATACCTGTTACCAACAATTGGATGACTTCTAAGAAGATGAAAATCTTTTGTTAAAGACCACAACTTAACCATTACTCACACAACATGGATGTTGGGTTAGGAGGAGTTTGAATGTTCAACATACACAATGGTATTGTTTCTGGAGCAACAGGACTACTTTCTCCACATGGGATTAAGTGTAGCGAGGGACAGTATCTTTCTAACCAGTGTAAGAAAACACATTGATGGTGCTACAAGCTATGAGGGTATATCCCCTCAACTGAAGATGGTAAACTACATCTCTGTGTGAGATACTGTGAGTGATAAACCATTGTGGATCAAGTTTGTGAAGGATGAAATTATGAAGGAAATCCTTTGAAGTTGTTTTGAAGAGTGTGCAATTATGACAGTGATCTCAAGTTGTTTTGAAGGATGTGTAGATAATGTTTTGAGATTTTTTAATGATGTGCAATGTTGAGGTCATCTTGTGTTATTATGGGCAGTGTGAAACATTGAGGATTATGTTCAAGTCTGTTTACAAAGGAAGTGCAATTTTGAAGGTGAACAGAGATTTATGGTGAGCTTTAAGAGAGCTGATGTTTGCTTTAAAAGGTAATGATGAGTCACACAATAATGAACATCCTCATTTAAATCAGATGTTTTACTCTGAAGTATTATATTTCTGAGATCTGAGGTTGCAGCAGATGAGGTGAGGTGAGGTGAAATTGGGTTTAACATCGTGCTTGAGAATATTTCGCTCATATGACGACGTGCATGCGTGTGTATGTGTATGTGCGTATTGCACTAGCCCAGCTTAAGCTGGTTTTATAGTGCTAGCCCACTGGGATACCACGCCGCAGTGAAGCATGAATACCCCACTCAGACACATTATACTGACTCCGAGCCGACCAGTCCTTGTTGTACCCATTAATGCCGAACGCCATGCATGGACCAACAAGTACCATATTTTAACGTATTTTGGTATGACGCGGTCGGGGATCGAACCCGCGACCTTCCGCTCTCTGGGTTGACGCTCTAACCACTACACCACGGAGGCGGTCTGCAGCAGATGAAGCTTTAGCGATATGACATGACTGTCGTATCTAAATATGGATGAGTGAGTTCATGAGACATCTATACTTACCACTGTGATTCAGAACGTTTAAGGGTGCTGGGGTAGCCTAGTGGTTAAAGTGTTCACTTGTCACACCGAAGAGCCTAGTTTGATTCCCCACATTGGTACAATGTGTGAAGCCCATGTCTAGTGTCAGCTGCCGTGATATATTGCTGGAATATTGCTAAAAGTGGCATATTACTCACTCACTCATAATGTTTGGACATAACAAAATTTATAAAATATATAGATTGATGCTGGCATAGCCATTTACATCAAGGACTGGTCATTTAAGTTCATGTAAGTTTGCCTGAATGCTTCGCTCACTTTCAGCAAGACTACAGAAGCTTCAGCAAAGATTGGTTGAAGTTCACCTGATGCAACCTTCTTAGGATGTGTGACATTTTTATTCAGAGAGTAAATTTAATCATAGAAAAAGATCTGTTTGTTAAAGATTGGAGAAAATTGCAATAACAGAAGTACTTGATTGGCTACTGTAACAATGATACATGTTTGTTTCAAAGGACTTGAAATTAACTGTGACTTAATGACCAGATGAAACAAGCGGCCAATATGAAGTTGAAATGGTGCTACACCATGCCCTGGAGTGAATGTCACATGTCCATGCAGATAGTTTCTGTGTGTTTGTTAATGGCTCTATCAAGACTTTGTTACATTTTCCGATATATGTTAAATGTTACCAGAAGCAGTTTTCGCTGACACGTCCTGACACAAGTTTGGATGTTCCGAATACGTGAAGAGCTGATTCTTTAAGAACACAATATTAAACATCCAAGTTCCTTTCACATGACACTTTATTGGTGCAAACCTCGAATTTGTGGACAGTGGTGAGAAGACAGATGCAAGAATCCACACAGGGAATTTGATTGGAAGAACTTCTAAACAATTGGATTCAGTCATTGGCTCAGAAAGGATGAATGTCTTGTCAGACCTTTGCCACTTTGAACGTAAGTGTGGAGAAGTCAGCATTATGAAGTGGACGCTAGCTGCTGTACAGATCCTGTACCCCTGAATCTAGTGACTTCCATGGCCTTGGTTGTGATAAAGCCTTTCGTTGTCACTGTTGCTGCCTTTGGGAGAACGGCTTTGCCATCTGAGCTCCTATTACCAAGGCTACTTTAATATTGGCATACCACAGAATGTATCATTGCATACCATTTGACAAGGTATAATTCTTTATGTCTTCTTTCTGTGGCACATCACTTTGAAAATATTGAAACTGCATCATGTAACTGTAAGATCTGAAAAATATTCTAGAATCCTACTCATAGAATGTTTATCAGTATGGTGTAATGGACAAGAACAGGGCTCACTTGCACAAAGTGATCTTAGTGCTACTTTGATTGTAACTGCTGTTCTCCAACATAGGCTTAAGATAGTTGTGGTGCTAAGATCGCTTTGTGCAAGTGGGCCCAGTACTGTCTGAAGTCAGGTAATGAAGGTACATAATTGATAATGTATCATCTTGGCCTTGTTTCCTTGGAGTTCATGACATCCAGGACTACTGTGGTTCCATGAATCCTCAGCATCTTGCTGGGATGTTTTTTCATGCATGTGTTTTCTCTATTAAGGTCTTTATATGAACTTCATGAAGGAGAAAGCCTTTGGTGCAAGGTATCTTTCCTCACAATTTTAAATGTTTAAAGCAATTTTGAATTATTTATTAAGGTACAAGTAGTCATACCAGAACAGTCTGAAGTTCTAGTATAGAGGGTGAGGTATGGTATCAACAAGAGTAATTTTTCAGGAAGCTATATTGGAAATAGGAAACTTCTCTTCATGTTAGAAAAGGATTGTTTGCCATCTTAGAATACAGCAAGATCTAATGATGTTTCAAGTGTGAGAGACTGGAGTCTTTGTAAAGCTTGGAGCAACTGAAGCATGATGAAGAACTTTGGGGCTATCATTCTTCAAGCTGAGAACAACTGAACAACTGTTCTGTGTGCAGGTGATGAACACTAGATCATGTTGAGTTGAATTGCTCTGGTTCATCATATTTCTTTGACGCCAACGTGTACTTCAACAACCTGTTTGATTAACCTGCTGTGGAGTGTAGTGGTATAGCTCCCTCACTCATCAGTCTGTTTAAATGAAACGTCTATGTACGTCATATGATGTGCTTGGTGTGTGTGTGAGTGAGAGAGACAGAGAGACAGAGAAAGAGGGAGAGAGAGTACTTGTGACCTTTGCCCTATAAATACATGCACAGATCTGTAGACTGAAGTGGACAGTTACAGTATTGAGTCTGTCATCTTCTGAATGTTCATTGTTGTTTGTTTACACCACGTTCAACTTTTGTAGAAATTGATTCAACATCTTTAAAGCTTTGACTCAAATACACTTCTCTGCCTGAACATCTGACCTACATAGATGTTGGCGTTATATAAGGACAAACTTTATGGATGAACAATTTCTTCATTCATGTGGTGCGACATTCCAAGAATATGTATCGAACATCGCTCCAACTGAATGAAGAAGTTGTACCCATAAAGTTTGTCCTTATCTGACTCGCCAACTTCTAAAAAAGCCACTCAAAGAAGTTGTCATTAGGTGACCTTTTCAGTCATTGCCCATGCTTGGTAATTTGCAATACAGGTAAGGGACAAATTCCATGCAGCATATCTGATTTCTGTCCATCAAAAACAATTTGGAACATAGAGTTTGTTTATCATAAGTAAACAATGCAGGCCACAACTGACTTTAGTTTATTTCATATGACTAGTTGTTTCTATTTTATATGACTAGTGTCATGGCACCAAAACAAGGAATGTATGGTATATATGTGTTTATGGTATAGATATTTTTTGCATTAGTATTTCATTAAAAGTGAAGTTCCTGATATGTTGGTGGTGATAAAATTAAGCCCAATTTCTTTGTAGAGAGCTGACATTGTATTAGCTTAAAACAAAATCCTTTGATGAGGCAAATTTGGCCCTGGTTATCTGAAGCAACCTTCTATGGAGGTTTGTCAGACGTTCAGACAGAGAGGTAATGCATCCAAGTGGAAGATTCTGAGGAGCCTGCCAGAGAACGTGATGGCACCAAGATACATTATGACCTCGGGGACATTAGATAAAACCTCCACTTGAGATCTTTGCTCAAACAGACTCCTGGAGAGCATCACACTGCTGCAAAAGTTGCTTGGATTTTAAATACAGAAAATGATTTTTTCCTAAACACCTATAATGATAAAAATATGAATCTCTTTCAATGTTTTCTATATGATTATTATGATGCATGCATCATATTTATTCATTACATTCAAACAAGCGTCCTACATTGTGAGTTGATGCTATTTAAAGCAGAATCTATTTCAGTATGTTATGTATGGCAGGTCTCTGTACTTACAAATCGGAAATTGTAAACAAATGCATTAACGGCACATGTATGTTATGTGGACACACATTCTGCTCCTCTTTTCAATCAGGATTGTTATACACATCATAGGATCTAAAGTGATATACATATACATATTTAATATAACAGTAGGTGGTTTGCAAAAAACTAATTAAAGGAAGACAAATTTCATAGACCCAGTTTTTTGGACATAAACATTCAGTTTCGAATTCTGTTTGTGTCATCTGACACTGGGATGCTGCCATACCTGTCCCCATGACTGTTAAGAGTAAAAATAATAAAATTTCAAATGAACATACATGGCCTTCCAAACACTTACAGCAACCTATCAGATTACTCTATGGTTGTCACATGCCTTTTATTCTATTTTCAAATGCCTACTGAAACATAGTTGTGAAAAATGCATGAAAACAAGTTCTTGATGTTATTTGGCAAACTAGAGATCACTGTGATCAAGGGATGAAATTGATCAATGAGGTCAACTCTGAAATCAAGTCCAATAATCTGGTATTTAGGAATTGTTTAGACAATGTTATGCAGTGAGTTGTTGATGGTAATTTAAGTGCCTGAACTGGTGTATGAGTTGGGCTCTGAAATATATCTGATGTTAAAACACCTTGAAAAATGTTAGATAATGGAGTACAGAAAGTTTATTTTTGGTAATCTACTATCATATCATATTTCTATATATTTTACATCACCATTTATGTGTACATACATACAGTGTTTTCACAAGCAATGTCATCATTCCATTAAGTTATTCCAGTATGTTTCACCCTGTCTGATTGAGCTTTCAGGAATGTTGATAGTAGCAGTAGTGTAGCATTCTGTTGTCTTCATGCTTTAATACTCACAACATGACCAGCTGGTTTTAACAGACATGGTATTTAATCATTAAATTTCATGATTCACTATCGTTCACAAGCATTTTCATTGTGCCTGATACATTGTGGCGTCATCAGGATGTAATAAGTGACAGCTTTCACAGCGCAGTACAGCATTATAATTATGTCTTCTTACTGATGGGATTCCAGACGCGAGTTGGTCCATTTTAACCACGCTGGTCGTAGAAGGTTACTAAGTGGATCAGCTAAGTCAGGGTAAGTGATTGTGCTGACAACCCAGACTAGCCAATACATGCACGATGAACCTACCGTGCAATATTCCAGGTGTACCATAACTGGCTATCAGTACAGGAGTCTGGACCAGA